CGCCTGCCCGGGGGCGGCCGGGGCTGCCGCTCCGCGTCCGCGTCCACCGGCGCAGTCTGCGCCCCTGCGAGCGGCGGAGCACCCTGCGCGGCGGCAGCCTCCTCCCTTCCCACCCTCCACCCCTCCCCGCCGCCGCCCGGCGCTGGCGGCAGGCGACCGCCCCTGGGTGCCCGCGGTCCGCGGTGTCGGGGAGCGGCGGCTCCGCTTTCCGCCCGCGGAAACTTTGGCCGGCGCGCAAGGGGGAGGATGGAGCCGGGGGAGCCCGCGGGGGCGCCCCTCAACCGGTCCCGAGCTGGGGCTGAGCCGCCCCGGGCGGAGTTCAACCTCTCCGGGCTGCCCGAGGCGGAGGGGAAGCCCCTCTTCGGCATCGGCATCGAGAACTTCATCACCTTGGTCGTCTTCGGCTTGATCTTCACTCTGGGGGTGCTGGGCAACTCGCTGGTGATCACGGTGCTGGCGAGGAGCAAGCCAGGCAAGCGCCGCAGCACCACCAACATCTTCATCCTCAACCTGAGCATTGCCGACCTGGCCTACCTGCTCTTCTGCATCCCCTTCCAGTCCACAGTCTACGTGCTCCCCACCTGGGTGCTGGGTGCCTTCATCTGCAAGTTCATCCACTACTTCTTCACCGTCTCCATGCTGGTGAGCATTTTCACGCTCTCGGCTATGTCGGTGGACCGCTACGTGGCCATCGTGCACTCCCGACGCTCCTCGGCCTTGCGTGTTTCCCGCAACGCCCTGCTGGGCGTGGGGCTCATCTGGGCGCTCTCCTTCGCCATGGCCTCACCTGTGGCTCACCACCAGAGCCTCTTCCACCGTGACGCCAGCAACCAGACCTTTTGCTGGGAGCACTGGCCCAACCCACGCCACAAGAAGGTCTACGTGGTTTGCACTTTCGTCTTCGGCTATCTGCTCCCGCTGCTGCTCATCTCCTTCTGCTACGCCAAGGTGGGGCAAAGCGGGTGGTGGTGAAGGGTATGTTCAAGGAATGGTGGGGGGTGAAACGGTGGCAGGTATCCTTGAGCAATGGGGACGTGGCTGGGCATGAGGAGGGACATGGGGACAGTGTTGGGAGGCAACGGGGCAGGGGTGAGTTTGTGGCAGAAAGGGAGAAGACAGGTTTCAGAGCCAAGGGGTGACGTGTGAGTGTGGCACAGAAAGGTCAGGACAGGGATTGCACGGGGTGGAGATGAAGGTTGTTGAGGCAGTTACTGGGGTCTCCTCTGCCACATCTCCTCGTTGCAAAGTGCTAAGAAGCCCCAGTGCTCTGCTGCTTTCTCTGTCAACAGAACTCCCCGATTTCCTTGCAGTGCTGTATGAGGAGTTTAACTCAAACGAAATGCCACAAAGCAACAAGTTGTTCAGGCTTTAAACGAAGTACTGCAGTTCCTTAAAATGCAGCGCACTTAAAAAAACGACACAAACCCACTGGTTTGGTCCGATGCAGTTAACATGTTAAGAACAAAAGATGCATCATGCCCCCCGGTCCCTGTGAGCTCTGTCTTGCCCCATTTGGTGTGAATGGGGCATTTACACCTGACTTCAGCAAGGGCAGGTGGTGGTAGGGAGCAGTGCATGAGGACCCAGCTAGGAAAAAGCAATAAGTAAGGGTGCCTGAATAAGGGTGCTTAAGGACTTTTCTGCTCAGGCAAACTGTCAATTTTCTGTGAATATGAATTGCAGCCCTCAGTGTAGGGTCCACTGCTTGCTGCTGGACAGGGTCTGGAGCACTGTCAGTAGCAGGATTTCTCCTTAGGCAGTAATTTTCATTTGAGAGGACAGGACTGCTCTTGCGAATAAAGACTGCTTAAATGTTAAGAAGTCAGTTCTTTAATTGGCAAGTTAAACAGATGTCATTAATGTATTCAATTTGACCAAATAATTTTATGTTCTCTTCAGTTTTACATGTACTACATCAGCTTAATTATTATGTGCAAATTAAGGCTAGAGTGGCATCCAACTCTGCTAAAACCAGGTTATGCAGAACTCAAAGGACAACATTTCTAAATTACTATTTGTAATAAAAAAAAAAAAAATCTGACCTGTCAAATGGAGAAGAAATTCATGTTTTAATATATAAAGTGAATTCTGTTTTCCCAGGGTGAATACACTGGTATTTCATCTACAGTGGTGAATATGACAGAGCTGTGAGAGGAATGAAACTTGCTGTAGCTATAGACCACCAGAGCTTTAAGAAAATATTACTATTTCAGGGAGAATGCTATGGAATGCGTGCAGAGGGAGCTTTTTAGCTACTAAGAATTCTTATATTTTTCAAAGCCAAAGCATCTTCAGTTTCAGTATAAAGTACCAGCCTTCAAAGTCTAATTATATGACAAAAGATTGAAAACAAGTCTTGCAGAATTACAACAGTCCTCCATAGTATGGGGGGTGGGGGGGAGAAGGAAACATACTTTAAAGAAAATATAATAATTATAAATACAACACACCATGTTACGAAGCACCACTACAGAAGTAGATCTCTCCCTATTAGCATGAATGTGTAGTTTAAAAAAACCAACCAACCAAAACCAAAAAACCAAACCACAAAGCACCCCTATGTGAAATATATGCCCAGAACAAGTTCATAAAATCAAAGCCACTTGAATTTACAACTAAAATCTTGTGCTTGAATTACTGCCAGGCTGGGATCTCACCCTTGCTTGGTGATGTGTTTTCGGCCTGTATGTGTGATCTGGCTTGCCATGGTGTCAGGCTGGAAGGTGCAACCTGAAGGGGTGAGCTTTAGGAGATATCTAGGAGATACGTGGTATTCCCGTCAGTGTCAATGAAGCTGAAAAAGGCTATTGGAGGTATTTGTATCCTGCAGAATAAAGACTTATTCCTACCTTCATTAGGAGCCACTAGCAAATCTCCAACTACAATATTTTGGCACATGGGGCAGGGTGAGGGAGAAATTAAGGACGATAGTAGCCAAAAATCAGTGAAGTTTTAAATTCGTCAAAGGCATTGCTTCTCTCACAGGTCTGAAGCAAAGCGGTCGCTGCGAGCTTCTATTGATGTCACTGAAGTACTATGGAGTGCAACAAGTATTTTGGCTTCTGAATGCATGCAGGCTTAGAGGATTGCTGCTGTGTAATAGCCTCAGAAGCAATACAAAAATAAATGCATTACTTTCTTATGGACTTCACTGGTTTTCATGAGCAGTGGATTAGCTAAATAATGAAATCTTCTGATACAGTAGATTAAGACAAAGGAGACTCATTTCTCTATTGGAATATATTGCCTTTTCCAGACTCCTTTAAGGCAGTTCTGTTTCTTTTATAAGCAAATTGCAATTGAACTTTCAATTTTGAAAGTCTCATTTTTTAGGCACTCTAATAGGGAGTCGAGTTCTTTCTCTCTCTCACTCTCTCTTAAATTGTTAGGAGATGTTTGTATTTTCCCCAGTGGATAGCAATACTGTTACCACCTATGGAAGTGCTGAAACAGTGCTAGGTATTTGGAAACAGTGTCCCCCCACAAAATCAGAACTGGAAATCTCACGTGACATGCTCTTGAGGCAGACATTTATGAGATCATGCTGTGTCCTGTTTGTACAGCTACCCATTTCCTCTGTCCCACAAGTAACTTCAATTCAGTTTCAACCAAATTTGACAGAGAGTGAAAATACTAGAAGGAATGATACTTCCCTAGCTTTGTGAAAACAGGAGTCAATGAAGTAGGTGGAGAGTCTCCATCATCCTCTCTCCTTTAGAAAGAGTCTGTCTGCGCTCAACTGTTAAGCATCAGAGAAGCCATAGGGGGAAGAGGCCTTACATAGCATTTACTCATGGAGGAAACACATCTTTTTGGGAACACGCAGTCAAGAAATCACAAATCCATAGGATAGGATAGTTCTGGCTCATAGAACTGCTCTTGAAAGGAACTCTCTACTCCAGCTGGAGAAGCGGTGATTGTTAATTATTAGTTGAGTTGCAGCGCTGCATTCATTCTTTTTCCTTTTTTTAATTGCTAATATCATATTACTTCCTGCATTTTTTTTAATACTGACTTCAAGTGTTTTATGACACTGCTATGTTTGCTTCACTAATGTGTTCTTAAAGAGCGAAGTGATAGATGATTCCCAGTGAGCTTCTAACGATTGACATCTGCCAGGGTAGTGCAATGTGACAACTGATTTTGGGTGCTTCTGCTTTTGAGCACCCGATTATGAGGCTTCAGTCCCTGAAAGTCAGGCCTCCTTCAGTCAAACCTTTAGGTTGGACACCAAAAATCATTAGCAAACTTCTCCTTTTATAGATGTGTAATTTTAAAAGATTTTTATATATACACATAAAAAAAATGATTTCTTGCCTCAAGAATGTTTCAATTATTATCTATCATTCTGAATTCATGGAAGTCACGTTTGATTTATAGACTTGGTTAAAAGTAAGCCATAAAAAGTAGGTGCCTTAATGTAAAATACAAGCTTATATGGTTCTTGGCTTAAGATATTATATCTTAAATTTTGCTGAGCAGTGAGGGAAAAGTTTATTAAACTACACTGAAAAGAAAAAATAAAGGGTATGACACATTAGCGACACACTATTAAACGGAAGAGGTTGAAGGGTCTGTTGTGACAATAGAAATAGCTGCATTGCTTTAAAAAATCTATGGCAGGTAATGGCACTTGAATTTAAATAAGGTTCATACAATAAAATATGGTTCAGACTGTAATGCTCGCATTATGGCTCTGTTAAACAAGCCATTCATTCTTAGGTAATGACCTTGGGCAGGCTTTCCTGCTGCATGATTTTCAGTGACTGGTAGTGAAGCTGCAGCCAGTGGAAGGATTGTACACATCCTGCCAAGCAGGAAATACGCTTTGCGACAGTGTACACTTCAAACTTTTACAATGTTTGGTAGATTTCTGTAAACAGGAACAAGTAGTTTAAGCTATTTGTTCACTCTCCCTTAGTGGAAAATCCTGTTTCTCGATTTGGTCATAGTCTCTCATCCTGGGCTCTCAAACCATCTTGAATGTAGTTCCCTGAAACAACTTGGGGGGGGCAGGGGGAGAAAAAGAAAAGAAAAAAGAAATGGGTAGTCTGTAGGCAAAATCCATGGCCTCCCAAATGCCATCACTGGTAGCTGTGGTATAACAGTCTGGACCAGACCGGAACTTCTTATACTTCTATGACCCTACAAGTCTCCTTACACTTTCTTTCACAACAGCATAACTTTCTTCCCACAGCACCCCACCTTCATCTCCAGAAAACAGGAAAGCTATTCCTTCCCCGAGAGCCAAGTAAGATCTCTGATCAACAGGTACATGAAAGCTGGAGTTAGAAAAGTTTCATGTAAAGAGTTAATTTCTCCACCGAGCCAATTTTTTAAAAAATGTAACACCTTATGAGAAGGGGTTCTGACCTATTTTTTTGTCAAGGTGGGTATTCATTCCATGAGTTAAAAATGCATGTACAAATGTATTAGTGGATATTTTGAAAGGCTTTCTTCAGAGAAATAGCCCGAGACAAATTAAGAGGCACATGTAGAATTATTATTAATTCAGGTGAAGTGACAAAGGTTGTTAGAGGAACAATCGATTATTCATTGGCCCAGAGAAAAGATAATTTGAGCAGGCCAGTGAGGAGAGGTGTCTTTGATTTGCCTTGCAGTGTTTGTGCATAAACATGGCTCTTAATGTCCCTCCACAGCATTCTGTATAGGTCTCTGGGTGCTGTTCCACTGCTGTTGATAGGTAATTACATTCTGCCTCTTTCTCTTGCTGCTGGTTTGCGTACCATCTGGTACACTACCACACAGAGCCAGCATGTTTTCACTGCAGAGACTTATTTTATGAAATATGTATATAATCTGAAAGAGGGTGTTGTGGTTTGGGCTGGACTGGCCGCTGAAGAGTGACAGATGCTCTTCCTCACCTCCCTCTCCAAGGAGAGGGAGAAGAGAGAAAGAGATTTATGAGTTTAAAGGGTTCTAAACTACTTTAATGAAATATCCATAATAAAATAAAAAGAAAATAATTAAAAAGTTACAATATATACAAAACTGTATCACGCTCCCAGGATAATGATCACATCACCAGCAGGCACTGAGGAAGTCCCAGATTGGACTCAGCAACAGACAGAGACTGGATTCTGGATCTGGATTCAGAAGTGCGTGGATTGAGATCAAAGGCAGATGAACAGAGTCCTCCTCAAACACCAGCCATTGAAGAAAGAGGGCTGAATCTTTGATCCCTCAGCTTTTATACTGAGCATGGGGCAGATGGGATGGAATGCCCTGTTGGTCAGTTTTGGGTCACCTGTCCTGTCTGCTCCTCCTCGCAGGTCCGACCCTTCTATGTTCTTCCACTTCCCACCCTCCAATGGGACACACAACAAAAAACCTATCAAATTGTTCTCAGTTCATCTTAGAGCTATGTAAAGTCCAACCTAACATCATCTTCTAGCTGAGCTCTACACTCCAACACTGTCTAAAAAATTCCTCTTATTATATTTTAATTAAACCCTTGAGTTTAATTAAGCATTTCTTTTTTTTTAATTCTGTGTGGTTACAACCTGTTAAACACATTCAGCTGAAGAGCATATTCCCTGCTCCCCATGCCTAGAAATAATAGCTTATGCATATATTAGATTCAGTTAATAATGACTGCAGATAAAGTAGGGCATTCACCTCCATGCATCTGCTATCCAAAACCTTATGTGTAAATCACTATGTTAAATTTGGAGCCAGCTCTAGGATGATGAGTCTTTTTGAGACAATTTTTAAAAAATTACTTGCGAAAGGTGCATGACAAGCATCATTAAACTGTTGATAAAAATAATGTCTCATGTGAGATACATTTTAGTGTAAATAATATTTGAAAGCCTAGGCTTCTTTCGAAGATCAAATAGCACCAACATCCTGATTATATTAACCAAACATCCATCTGAAGAAAGCAAATTATGCAGGTGACTCAGAAAAGCTCTGGCTCAAAACATACACTTTTTATGTTCAATGAAGTAAAGGGCATTCTACATTAACAAGCATTGACATTTTTATGGAAGAAGAATGATTGGTAATTCTAGGTGCGTGATAGGTTTCCATTTGTTGCCTTGTTAATTTGTAATTCGTAATTTGTATTTGTTATGTAATACAGCTGAATTTTTATATAAGACTTCAACTGGGGTGTGCATTATATTTGTTGATTCACACACATGCAAATATGTAATTCCTTTGGGTTTTATACTGTGCATTTTTGAAATGTGTAAATTGGATCAGCGATGTTTGTAAGCGACTCATGTAGTACGGGAGAGTATACTCTGAAATATACAGTTTTGAATTTTAGAAAATGGTGAAATACAAGATGCAAATTAATCTTTTCAGGTTCTTAATCATCTGCATAAAAAGTTGAGAAACATGTCAAAGAAGTCAGAAGCATCCAAGAAAAAGGTAGATTGCTTTCATTACTAATATCTGGTTTTTTTATATTTTAGTTTTATGGCTAAGCTGATTTGGTTTTATATTGTTTGTTGCCAAAGATGTGATGGAGAGAAGAAACAGAAATTAAGTATTTATTGACATATTCAGTGTCTCTCTGGACTTTGCAGGACTGGAATCTTTTCTAATCCAAGTTTTTCGTTGCAATATATCAAGCCATTACCTGAGGTCCCTGTATTTTGTATTTCAGAGCATCTAAAATTTAGACACAGAGAAACGAACTCTCTCTAATATTAAATGCTTTTTTTTGCCTCACAGGCATTTTTCCCCAACTTGTAAATCTTTTTTTAAAATTATTATTTATTTTTTTAACTAGCTGAATTTTTTGATGTTTTATGAATAGTTCTGAGGTTACATGGTGAGACTTCAAAATAGGGTTTATTGTACTTCCCGATATAAGTCTAATAAGAGACTTTTAATGATTCTGCAATTCTTCTATGATTTTCCAGAAAACTTCTCTGTTCAGGACTTAAGTTATATACCATCTACAAGTAGAATCATGAAAAAGCAGAGTATCAGCCTTGAAACTTAGAACAATATCTGAAAAATGTGTTAATATATTGAATTTGTCATTTAATATAATATGGTTAGGATTTTTGAGCATATTTGACCACAGTAATCATTTGACTAACTTCTCCGTTTATGAATGTGGAGTCAGAAAAAAACCCTTAGGCTATAGCTCTTCATTTGATCTGATCGCTATTACCATATGGGCATACAGACTCTCTGCAATGTAAATGAGATATACATGGGCTCAACAGGGAATAAGTAATCTATTATTTATGCATTCTATGTCTTCTTGAAAAATATCCTAGTCAATAGATTTTAAACCCTAGAATTAAAAGCATTATAGCCGCGATTCTGTAAAAAACCTAACACTTATATACTTTTGCACTTTGTGTTGTCAAGGCCAAAGGTGTAGTTTTCAAAGGCATTCTGTATATTGCCATCTCTACTCTCATCTAAGTTTATTCTCAAACTGGAAATATCTGTACTTTTCCTCTAAGCACTAACTCTTAAAAATTGTGAGTAAAAATCAGATCTGTCTAGAAACTGGCTTTCATAGCTTCAGGGAAAAGCTTTGCAGATATGCCCGAGACTGCATGGATGTATCAGGGTCCAGTAACCAAAGGGGGAAAAAAAAAGGAATCACAAAACTTTTTTTGCCTTAGAAAATAAGTTTCTGATTCTATGCCTAACTCATGTTTTACAAAGCAATTGTGTTTTCACTAGTGTGCTGTCTCTCTCTGGTCACTGTCTTTTTTTCCTTCTACTGTTTTGTTAAGAATGCATTTCAGGCTTAATGATATATTTCTAGTTTTATTCAAACCTTTATGGAAATTTCAGTAGTAGAATCTTAAAATTAATTTGCTATATGTATGGGAAAAACGTTAATGAATAATACGAACACACCTAAATGCTATTCTTCATGCTTTTTGGTCATAAAACAAAAATATTAACATCGCTTTTTTTAGCTGGGTTTTATTTGCTAATGAGAAACCCTAAGCAAGATCCTATTAGGTAAATAAGAGCTGCCCTTTAGTGTTTCCCTGGTTGCAAAGTATAGTGAAGACTGTAGAAAGATAAGCTCTAAAGTTAGGCTTAAAAGGAATAATGGGATAAAACAGATGTTGTGAGGATCCCTTATGGAAAATTATTTATTCTGCACATATGAAATACCTTAAGTATAATAGTTACAAGAGATACATGGTCAGCCTCTGCTTTCAGGTGCATCTATACAGTCTATTGAAAGTCAGTGCTTTTCCTGGTGTGGTTTTTTTTTTATATAATTTGAACAAACTGAAGTAATACACCTCTTCTGAAATAACTGCATGTGTTATCCAGACAATCTATTTTCAGCTGGAATATTAACACATTGAAGAGATCAGAAAATTAAGTGCTCTTAATTTATACTTCCTTGTTAGCACATACTCTCCTGATAAGAGCTGAAACGGCAGATGTTTTTGTGGCTGTTAGTGGCAACTGAAACTCCATAGGGCTAAGCAGAGGAAGGGCTTGTGAAAATAGATGAATCCTTGAGACTAAACAAATTATATTCACTACAGATATAGTGTCCTTTGACTTCTGTTGTAAGATTTTGCTAACCAATGACAGTATCTGTCATAAGTTTTTTGGCCTGTTCCCACAGAAATCAAGCTTTTTTTTTTTTTCTGTAAGTTTCTATAAGTTATGTCATGTTGTGATTGGGTATGTCAGTCTGAATTATTACCAAGGATTTCTCAACTCAAGAGGTATGGGCCAAGTTCAATAAAGTAGCAAAAAGTCTAGGTATTCTCTGTGCTGCAGTATTTATCACTCTGTGGCCACTGGGATAGTTTTTCCTGTGAAGAAGAGCCTAAGTTATCTGAAAAATTTTGTTGTAAAGTATTAGTACAGTAATTATAATGGTCCATAACATAATATGCTTTGGAATTAATATCAAGATTTTATTGAGAGTGATTTAGCTGAGAGAGGTACTTATCAGAGGAGTAGATATTAATTAGTTGGGCAACTGCAAAGCACTAGCTGCAATTTCTGAAGTGAAAGCCAAAGGAAACATTGACAGTCAAAGTCCACTATGCCCTGGCTGAATTCCTTTAGCACCTGGAAGGCCTGTACTGACTGATACTGTAGCTGTCTGGATGGATATAATGAACTTGGTAGCCCTTCCTCATAAATAATGGAAGTGGGGCAGGAGGCAGCACTGAGGATATTTTGGGTTCCATTTTTCTGCATTCAGCGCTTAGTGGTGAGCTCTAATTTTCAGATTGGTTTTGACAATGTGCAATCACCAGAAATTTCAAGCTTCTTACTTTTCTCTTTTTTTCCCTATTTGTATCCCAAAATGTTGTTGTATAACTCCCCCTGTAACAAGTTTTTATTTAAAGGAGACACTTTCAAAAAAGCCCCTGCTCCTTTTGTAGACAGTTCAGCAAACTGTTCGTCTGACTGCTCTAGTCTCTTCCACCAGCTGCCTTCATGTATAATAGATATTTCTGGAAATTTTTGTCAGAAATCCTTGTGTACCACACTGAAATATAGATCACTAGATCTGGATGAGATTTCCCAAAGACCCATGTGATCATTATTTTTCATCAAGCTTGCGTCCACCTCAGAAAAGGCTAGGCATTTCTGTAGGGAGTCAGGAACATCATTCTTTACATTTGAATGAAGTTAAACATGCCTTTTACTGCAGCATTTTCAAGGTTCTCCTTGCATAGTTTACTATGCAAAATAGAGCCCATATAGGTAATGGAGGAAAATCAGTAAAAAATATTCCGAAATGTGTTCTCTCTCAGTATACCTTTTTATCCCCCAAATAATGGATTTGAAGCAGGTTTGAAGCTGATTCGTCAAGTGCTCATCAGACATCTGTGTTTTCCTTTCCCTGTCTCAGACAGCACAGACTGTGTTGGTGGTGGTAGTGGTTTTTGGCATCTCCTGGCTGCCGCATCACGTGATTCATCTCTGGGCTGAATTTGGAGTTTTCCCACTGACTCCAGCCTCCTTTCTCTTCAGAGTAACTGCACACTGCCTGGCTTACAGCAATTCTTCTGTGAACCCGATTATATACGCATTTCTCTCGGAAAATTTTAGGAAGGCCTACAAACAAGTCTTCAAGTGCCAGATAGGTAATGAGTCACGTCTGAATGATGCTAAGGAGAATAAAAGTCGCATAGATACACCACCATCTACCAACTGTACACACGTGTGAACGTTGAAAAGTCCTGCATGTTGGCTCTTCATTTGTGTGAACTGAACACCAAGAAAACAAAGCACAATGAGCTTTATCCTGGTTTGTCTTGATAAAGCTAATTGGTATTTAATGTACTGAAGTTGCGTTTGTGGCAAGTTTGTGAAACTGGTATGAGAGAAAACTGGGCTAACCCTTTCCATCTTAGATAGCTTTGTCAAAGGAAGCTCTTGGACCTTTGAAAGATAGTTGAGGAAAAAATGTTGGAGATTATATGTCTGTATTCCTACTCACTAAGTATACGGTGTGTAAATATTCAAATATAACATATAAGAAGGAAATGTTGATATGGAAAAGTAACTTTCTGACATGTTACTCCATCAAAGTGAAGAAATGGCTGAATTTTCTGTCTTACGGATAATAAATGCCATACTATGAATTCAGGGAGGAAAACTTTTTTTCTCTCTTCATATTGTTTTGACAGTGCTCTCTCTCTTTTTAAAGTAAAGGTGGGCTCTGATTTGGTGTTGAAATAACCAGTGTACAACTTGAGGCAATTGCTTTAGAAAGGAAACGCTAATTTTATCTGTTTAGCTGTCTATTTAATGTAACATACTGAGTAATGATGGACTTTTTTGCACTTCATATGCCTGCCTTACTGTATACACAGAACTTTTGTGTATGCTATATCAGGTTTTGTTTATAGCCTGTATGTAGTTGTACCAAAATGAGGATTTGTGTCTGTCTGAGAGAAGCTTTTCTTCATGTTGCATGTGCATGTAGGTGTATGTTTTGTTAACTTTATGGACTTTGAGATGGAGATACAGTTTTAAATGTGCAATATATACATATGTTTTAAAATATTAAGTTCCATAAAGCAACTCTGGGCAATGTTTAAGTGTTTAAAAATAGCATTCCCTTAAAAGTTGTAGAAGAGGTTTCGTATCATGTGTCTCTAAATTGGAAAAAAAGATGCATTTATATTATAAAGTATATAAGGTAAACTGCCCTATTCTGAAAATTCCTAAATAACATGAGTAGTTTCAGCAATTTTATAAAAGCACTTAATATGTCTTTAAGTGGTAAACCGCTAAAGAAATAGCAGAAGTGCACTCAGTCCTTTGAGAACATTATTGTTAGCTGGAGTAAGACATGCTTTTACCTTATTTATTAATGACCCATAGACCCATAGAGTAAATTAATTTTAAGGAACTTCTGTATATCCTCTCAAGGCAGGGCTACCCTCAGAGCCGGATTGTTTCCTTCTCTAGGCAAGTTTCCACAATTTCCAAGGATAGTGATTCAGCAATATTTTTGGGCAACTTTTGCGAGGGCTTAATAACCTTCACCAAAATATTTTTTCTTATCCCCAGTTGGGATTTCCCTTGATGTAGCTGGTAACTGTTGCCTTCTCTCCTTTCAATGTACACTTGAGTCTAACTAACTAATATGTAGTTTAAGATGGTGATTAAATTCCCTCCCAGCCTTCTCTTCTGAAACGACACTCTTAGTCTCTCCTCATCCGTTGTGCTCCAACTCCCTGGCCACATTAGTGGCCTTCCCCTGGCTGCCCTCCAGCATGTCTATCCCTCTTGTGAACTGGGGTGTTCCAAACTGAACAATGTGTTCCGGATGTGGCCTCACGAGCACTGAGTAGACTAATCACTTCCCTTGACCCCTTGGCTGATTCTTGTTATTACAACCCAGTATTACAGTAATTTATTGCTGCAAGGGTAGACTGCTGACTCATATTTAATTTTTTCCCTCGTGCCTTCTCTCCTTTCAATGTACACTTGAGTCTTGTCTCTAACTAACTAATATGTAGTTTAAGATGGTGATTAAATTCCCTCCCAGCCTTCTCTTCTGAAACGACACTCTTAGTCTCTCCTCATCCGTTGTGCTCCAACTCCCTGGCCACATTAGTGGCCTTCCCCTGGCTGCCCTCCAGCATGTCTATCCCTCTTGTGAACTGGGGTGTTCCAAACTGAACAATGTGTTCCGGATGTGGCCTCACGAGCACTGAGTAGACTAATCACTTCCCTTGACCCCTTGGCTGATTCTTGTTATTACAACCCAGTATTACAGTAATTTATTGCTGCAAGGGTAGACTGCTGACTCATATTTAATTTTTTCCCTCGTGTCATAGAATTATAGAATAGTTTGGGTTGGAAGGGACCTTTAAAGGTCATCTAGTCCAACAGAATTACACTGAGTCCCAGCCCAAATTTCAGGACTTTGCTTTTAGCTCAGTTGAACTTCATGCACTTGATAGCTGTTACTTGCATTCTTCTGGCTTATGAAGGCCTCTATCTGAAAGGTACCCTTGCTCTCCAGCATATCTACCACTCCCCTGGGTTTGATATCATATGCAAACTTGCTGAGAGAGTCCCGAACCCTTGTCTGAGTGTTTGAAGATGCTAAATACTGTTGGCCAGATGCTCTGTCATGTTCCTTTTTCTCCACAAACTTGCTTTAAAAAAATAAATGTTCAGAGTGGTGGAACCACATCAACTATGGAGGGTTAGTTCACATGAAAATATCTATGGTTACTTGTCAGTATTGTCTCCTTGGAATCAGTAAAATAATATTGAAGACATGCTACTGCATGCAAGGTGTTTGTGTCCATTCTTTCATACGAAGAGACATTTTGGTTATATTGCTAGGAACACAAAATTTATGAAAAATTGTCAGTTGGAGAAAAAGGGTTTATCTGTGCAGGAAACCATTTTTTGGGTTAAGATTGAGGTTAGGAAACACAGCCTAGAACAATGTTGAAGTTCTTTTCAGTTTTCAGATCCTCATCACCCAATATGTAGAACATATTAGGAGATTCTACAGCTTTGAAAATGATATTTTTTTCCTTTAAAAAACTTGCCTGTGATTTAATTACTTGTAATTTTTGAATAAAAAATTACAATGTAAATATGTAATTGTATAAATTTAGCATGCTGAGTTTATTGTTTCATCTGAAAAGGCTTTTATTTTCTTAATTGTACATAATTTTAAACCCAGGTGCTTGACAGTAATGGAGCTACATCTGTTTGAAATTTTAAGGATGAGGAGGTGGGGGAGGACTGCAGTAACTACCAGTTAGAAAGGTCCACCTGGTTCCTGGTGAGTATCAGTAAAGCTTCCATGTCACTTTTCAGAGAAATCTTAAGAAGCAGCTGACACTTTAAGGCTCAATTTCCTACCTAAAACACAAATCTGTTAATTGGTGTCTCCAGTGTGACTTGACATGCTCACCTGTGACTGAGTTGTGAATGTAGAAGTAGTGTTAACGTGTACAGTGAACTGTGTCTAACCCCTAAGCAGCTGGACAGTTAGGCAGGAAGTTGTTCTGCCAGAAAAAATGGCTAAATTGGGCATAAAATGAGGGAATGGGCACTAATCATGACTTAAAACTGAATGTCTGCTTTCGAGTTCTGAATGTGTTGGCAGGGATTATTTTTTGTGGTGGAGGGCAAAGCAAAAGTTTCAGTCGCCTCATACTTTTTTAGCTCTTTTTAACCAGAGGAGTTGATTTCAGTGAACACTGAAGTTAAAAAAAATAAAAATAAAAAAATATTTCTCTGGCTAGAGCTGACTTTTCTACTCTTAGGAAGATAAATAAACCCACTGAATTCCACCCTGTTGTGTGAAGAGAACATTATTCTGTACAAAACAAAACAGGCAACTTGAATGATTACTTAAATTCCTCTCGAACTAGAGCAAGATATGTGTGTGTAATAAAGCAAATACTTAAATTCCTCTTAAATTTCTCTTCAATTATGTTTCTTATAAATTGAGAGAATTGGAGAACTCCCAATGAAAAATGTTACTGACATCTTTTTTAATAAACTCCTTAAAATTTTGTGGGATATATACTGCTACCTCTTTGTGCTGCTTCATGAGTGTCTCCTGAAGTTTATTTCAACATTGATGACAGAAGTTAACAAACCCCATCAGATCAAGTAGGATGAGTTGTTCCATCAGGGTTCTTCATGCAATGTTGTCCCTGCCTGCTTGTGGGTAGGTGTGTGAGGTATGACACAAAAGAATACAGCAGTGCTTTTCTTCACCTAATAAAGGCTAAAATACCTTTCCAAGATATGTGTGGACCCGGATGCTATACAGAAATCAGAATTAGGATGCATAGCCAAAATGAAAAAAGAAAAAAGAAAAAAAGAAAGGCACTTAACCAACCTACTGTTCTTCATGTGCAAACACACTGCAAAATGTTGGGACTTGCTCACCTGTATGTTCAGCTCTGCTCACTTCACAGGTAATTGTATCATCCATTTAACTAATTTTAAAGAAAATAATTATTTTAGTTGAATGTGAAGCTAATGCTTAATGATGACTTCTAAGTGAGTCCTTAAACTACGCAGTTTTCAGTCAGAAGTATGTACTAAACATTCATGATATGTAATAATGTAAACAACAGTATAGCCTAAAATTTCCGTCTTGAATCAAAAAATGTGGAATTTTTAAATATTTTTCATATGTCTAGGGTAGGTAACAAAATCATATGCTATAGTGGATTACAAAGATATGACCGAACTGGATGAAATTATATGTAAAAATATTAATGACTAATGAGTGTTCCCATCTGCAATCTTAATATTCTTTCAATATTTTGTATAATGAAATTAATTGGGTCTTTATTTACAAATTCTTCTGAAGTCATTTTCTCAATTTAAACTCAGAAAAAAACATATTTTCAAAACAATTTAAATTTTGGCAAGATAAGACATTTTAATAACATGTTTTAAGTTGTGGTCCTTTGAGCTTTGTATCCACTTTCACTTTGTATGCATGCACCTCTTTCTTAAAAATTCAATTATTTTGATAATCTATTATATCTTTATTTTTAAAAATATCACTATCTCCAAGAGATAAACATTAAGATTTGTATATTAATGTTGCAGTGAAGTAAATTTTACTTAAAATCCCACATTGTAAGGAAAGTGAGGGATCTTTTTATAAAATAATGTTGTGAGTGCATTATTTTAGACATTTTTATCTTCCTGGTTGCTTCACAGTACCATGTGTCACATTGAAACTAACGATATTTGTGGTATTTTGGGAAAGGGTAAAAGCAGAGAAAAGAACAGCTTCTAGCTTATAGAGCTTGTGTTAGTGTTGTGCATTCTGGACACGTGCACATGTTGAAGACCAGCAAATTAAAATTCCGTGTTTATTTCAGTGTATAATGAATGTAAAGTAACATGCAGTTGTTTTAATATATACTGTACTTTGCGTGAATTTTCAAGTGATTTTTTTCAATTGGTCTCTGAAATTGAAATACAAACTGCTTTTCTTATAAAATGTTTACACAATGCTTAAAAACAAGCAGTGCCTTCAGGAAAACTTGCAGAGAAAATAGTGTACACAGAACTTAATAGAGTTTGATGGCTAGAGGTCATTATGGGTTGAAAATACCTCTTTTAAAATTTAACCGATATAAAAACTATACTCCTTTTCAAGTACTGAAGTGCAGGAGGCATGGTCCTCCTTTCATTCAGGTTGGTAACTGTTAATTGAAATTGATGGAATTCATTGATATTTCTTATTCAGGTGCAATTTAAATCTCTGTAATTTATGTGTTGCTTAAGAGACACACAAACAGAGCCAAATCCATATATTTGAATATGAAAAGAAACAAAGCTCTACAAGGATGTGAAATTCAAATGTATTTTATTATATCAAAGCTTGTATGTGGCTCCCCTTTTGGAAGCAGGCAGTCAGATCAGTGTGAATAGAATAGAATAGAATAGAATAGAATAGAATAGAATAGAATAGAATAGAATTTCAGTTGGAAAGGACATACAATGGTCATCTGGTCCAACTGCTGGACCAGTTCAGGGCTGATCAAGTTAAAGCATGTTATTAAGGGCTTTGTGCAAACACCTCTTAACCACTGACAGGCTTGGGGCATTGGCTACCTCTCTAGGAAGCCTATTCCAGTGTTTGACAACCCTTTTTGTAAAGAAATGCTTCTTAATGTCCTGTCTAACCTCCCCCAGTGCAGCTTTGAACCATTCCCACGTGTCCTGTCACTGTATCCCAGGGTGAAGAGATCAGCACCTGTCCCTCAGCCTCCTTTTCTCCAGACTAGACAAACCCAGCATCTTTAACCATCACTTATAAGACATTCCTTACAGCCCTTTCACTCCCTTTGTTGACCTCCTCTGGATTCACATCCTTCTTAAATTGTGGGGCCCAAAACCGCACACAGTGTTCAAGGTGAGGCCGCACCATCACTGAATACAGCAGATAATCCCCTCTTTTGACTGGCTGGTTGTGCTCTGGTTGATGCACCCCAGGAGGCGGTTTGCCCTCGTGGCTGCCGGGGCACACGGTGACTCCCATTGAGCCCGCTGTGCACCAGCACCCCCAGATCCCTTTCTGCAGGGCTGCTCTCCAGCCACTTCACTTCCA